GGCTGAGTCAGCGCTGCCTGGACCAGGGAACCTGGAGAGAGAGAGGAGAGAGGGGAGAAGACCCGGGTCAGCCAGTGCCCCACGAGCACAGCCCTCCCCGGGCAGTGGGATGGGGAATGCTACAGTTGGAGGAGAATGAAAGCAACCATATTCACAGGTAAATTTGGGGAGCACAGCCCAACACAACAGGTATCAGCACAGACACAGCTCTGGCAGCAGCACAAGGACATGGTCATCAATAGGAAGAGGCGTGGGGATGTGCGAAAAGGCCAAACTGTAAATTTTGTAAGGACAGGAACAACGGTCACCATCCTCAAGTTCACATCTAGTTCTTTAGGACACAAAAGGGAGGACGTTCACAGCCACGGCCATGCAGAGGGCACAGGAACCTGCATCACCCCCACAGCCACAAACTGCTCAGCCAAGAGGGAGAAGGGCTGAAAACCTACCTCTGACTTTCCAGTCTGTGTCTCACTTCCTATTGCTTATTGTCACCAGACACCATAGGTACCGCTGCTGCTGTCCCAGCCACCACAGTAATAGACGGCCTCGTCCTCAGCTTGGACCCCAGTGATGGTTAACGTACCTGTGGAGCCTGAGAAGGATCCAGAGAATTGCAAAGGATGTTCTGAGGGTCTGTTGGTGTTACTATGGATCACAGTGACAGGGGCACTGACGGGTACCTTCTGCTGGAACCAGCCATAGTAGTTGTCAATCCTGGAGCAGGAGGTCCAGCTGTTTACTCTGGGGGACATGTACATTGAGGGCGGCTGAGAAGGCCCTGCTTGGGAGAGGAGAGAGGGGAGAGGGGAGAAGATGGAGCTCAGTGAGTGCCCCAGGAGAATGTTCCTCCCTGGGCAGCGCGACGGTGAAGGGACTCCTCTGCCCTCAGGCACATGGACGGGACACCCCGGGTGCAGCCCCAGGCCCAGGCACCCCCCGAGGAGTGGCTGGAGCCACAGCCCTGACCCCCCCCCCCCCCCCCTTGCCCCTCGGGGCACACCTCATCCCTGTCCCTGACACTGGGCAGCCCAGGGGCATGGCCTGCCGTGGGCACCCAGTGTTTGTGGCGGTCTGGAGACATCTCTGCCCATGTCCAAAATGGGGCCAGGTCCAGGCCAACAGCCAGGGTCTGCAGGGCAGGGGGTCCCCAGAGAGCGAGAAGCTGCGTGGGGAGATGATGTGTGACAGAGGGAACGGGGGCAGCTCCAGCACAGCATCGGCTGGTTAGAGGCACCACCATGGAGACCAGAGATGGGAGGCTATCTGGGCAGGGGGCACCGGACTCACTGGGGTCTTTCCAAGATCAAATGTTCCCCAGGGAACATCCTCTCTCCACATACCTTCCGCCCCCATGGCGGCATGAAGCACCCAGGGCACACGGGCTCTAGCTCTTGGGCTCCTCTGCACCCCTTGAGTTGATTTAGGATCATCCCCAAATGCAGCCAATGCCCAGAGTGCTCAGTGGTGAATGGAAAGATAGGACATAGTGCCTGGCAGCTTACAGCGTAGCCCCAAAATGGACAGACCTTCCCAGAGCCAATGTGTCCCTACTCAGCTCAGGGATCCCCCCAAACCCCAGCTCTGCTCATCTCCACGGAAAGGCTCTCAGACACAAGAGGGCCAGAAATTCCCCGTGCCCAGCAGCACGGTGCTACTGCCTCACGGAAGCCATCTCTTGCAGGGCCCTTGGGGCAAGGAAGGAAGGTCTCAGCACCACACACCAACACCGCAGAGGCAGCGCAAGAAGGGAGGTGGCATCAGGACAGAGAGACAGACAAAACCCTGCAAAAGCAGAGCCGCAAAAGGGCACCAACTGTCCCCCCTCCCTAACTCTTCCCAACACAGGGAAAAGCATAGTACCAAACAGGAGAGAAAGAACTAATCTCAGCATGACGATCAGCCTGACCAGTACCGCTGCTGTCGTAGCTACCACAGTAATAGACAGCCTCATCCTCCGCTTGGACCCCAGTGATGGTTAAGGTGGCCGTAGAGCCAGAGAAGGATCCAGAGAATCGCGGAGGGATGCCCGAGGGTCTCTGGTTGTCCCTGTAGATCACGGTGACAGGGGCAGTGCCAGGAACCTTCTGCTGGTACCAGCCAGCATAGCTGTTGCTGTTAAGCCCAGAGCAGGTGATCTGGACCGTTTCTCCCACGTTTTTCGACACGGAGGGCGGCTGAGTCACTGCTGCCTGGACCAGGGAACCTGGAGAGGGAGAGGAGAGAGGGGAGAAGACCCGGGTCAGCCAGTGCCCCACGAGCACAGCCCTCCCCGGGCAGCGGGACGGGGCTCCTGTGCCCAAAGGCCCCGTCCGGTTGCAGCGAGTCTGGCCAGAGCACCTGAGACATGGGCGAGCACCGCGAGGAGGAGAGGGACCCAGGCCATGGTGCGATCCCACCAGCTACGTGTCCCCACACTTCTGGCACTGTGCTGTGGACCCCAACTACCTCTTAAAACCCCATCCACCTGGGGATACCTCCCCCATGCAAATATGCCCCACATTGGTCACCGGCTGCTCCTGTCCCAGTGCCCCCAGCACCCACGCCAGGCACGTCTCTGGCCCACCAAAGGCACCGAGAGCACTCTGGCTGCGTGCTCCCTGCGCCACTCAGATGGGAAACACTGATCCTGCTTCACACCAGGGCACTGCCACCGGGTTTCTCTCAGAAGACACAAGGATGTGACCAGCAGGATCGACATGTCCAGGCAAACGCTCCTCGACTCTGGTTTTGGCAGATACAAGCTCAGCCGAGACACCTGCAAGGGGTGGCAGGAGCCCTTTTCTACCCTGCCTGGCTGAAGCACCTTCTGCCACCACCGCAGCCCGGCCTGCGACCCCCCCAGCATCCCTCTGCAGCAGCACAGCTCCTCCCGCCATGCTCCCCTTCCCCTCCACCCCAGGCGCTTCTCCACAGGGCTCTGCACCCATGGCTGGACCGGCACAACCCACCATGCCGTGCCCGCACCCCCACTGTGGGCTGCTCCCCCAAGACGACCTGGCCTGGGGCAGCACTGCCACAGGGATGAGGAGAAGGGCTCCGGCCTCTGCTCACTCTGGCTCATGAGGGCAAGTGCCCAGCCTGCCCAGTTCCACCGCACTGCCCTTCCCAGACCTGCCTCTGCCTCTCTGTGCTGCCCTTAAGTAAGAGGTGGGACGAGTCTGCTCAGCCAGAGTTCTTGGGCATCTCTGACGGAGAACGGTTTCAAACCTGCTCCAAACAGCCGCTTCCTTTCAGCCCTCAGAGCCACCTCACAGCAAATTTCAGCACCCCTTCACCTTTAAGAAGCATAACGAATAAGACCTGGACACATGAAAACAGGGATTTATTATTCTGTGTTCATTCTACAGAAGAGCTCCAATGCTGAGCTACCACCACCCTTTGTGACTCCCTTAGTCCAGGAATACAACACCTGCTCCTTACACACAGAATATTTTCCACAGGCCTCTTCCTGTTAATCAGCAGTTTCTTCCACTTCAAGTTCTGGAAGAGTAACGGGTTTTTTTGGTGGGGTTTTTTTGTTTGTTTTTTTTAACAAGTTCACAAGCAGTAAAGGGTTGCGGCCGCTTTACTGTCGCAGGGCGCAGCAGCAGCACCCCCCCGTGGCCTCTGCTTCGACTGAACGGGAAAGAGCAGGAACGAACGGCGGTGAGAAGTCAAGAGGCAGGTTTGAACGTGATTCAGTATTTCTTGAACTCAATTCTTTCTACTTTCACATCATCCTCAATTAGTTGGTATACATAAGTCACAACTGTGGAAGCTTGGATATCCATCAGTACAAATGAAGGGATGATGTTCCTGGAAAGAAAGCACACTTCCCAATTAGCTTACACTTCTTGCTGTTAACATACCTTACACTTATGTATTCTAGTGCATTTGGTTGCCAGGGGCTGCAGTGATCCAGAAAAGTGCGGTTTGCAGGCACTGACAGGAGTGTCTCTGGCAGAGCTGCACTCAACCTAGAACAGCCCTCCAGGCTTCTCAACAGCTTCAGTCGGGTCAGGCTCAGACATAGAGGCTGACAGAGCCTCCAGAAGTCTGATTGCCTACCAAATACTAGCAGGCACCTTCTGGGAAGACACCAGAAAGCAAAACGACTTCAGAGAGCTGATGCAACTCCCCCCCATCTTGGGACACTGGAAGCAGCCCCAGGCACACCAGTGCTGGGCTGTCATGCCCAACACGTGGGCCAAGTAAAACCGTGGTAGCAGGGGAAACCACTGCATTCCCCAGAAGGGAGAGAGCTGGTCTCCTGCTCCTCACAGCACCTCACCAGTGCTCTGCAGCACAGTGGCCAAACATTCACAGGTGAACAGACACATTTCAGGTAACACCTATGGGCTCTGCTGCACTGAGCAGCTCAGGGCCCCCATCACTCACGTTTCCAAAGCACTGTAGGCTCCTGTAGCTGATCCTGGGTTGATGTAGAATTTTTTTTCATGTTCAAATGCTTCAAATCTGTGTGTGTGTCCCGAGATGAGAATGTCCACATCCAGTTGCCTCTGCAGCAGTGCTAGGCTTGCCACATCACCCCAGGGAATAACTTGATGGCCGTGAATCAACCCGATTCTGAACTGCCCGACAGTTACAACCTTCTCCTCAGGATAATTCAGGCTCTGAGGAGAAAGGCACAGCCTATAGATCAGCTGAAGACCCCTCACCCATGCAATGCAGGTTCCTACATTTCAAGACACAAACCCTCTTTTTGCCATTCAAGTGTACAAGGTTGCTTTCAATGTGCAGACCCACCAGATGCCTGTTCCGCACCCCAGCAAGAGCAACTGCAGAGCAAACAGTGAGGAATTTGCAGAGAAGTCAGGCTACTCAACAGTAAGTAAGCACACAAACAAGCCCCCAGTTCCTGCAACTACACAGCCAGCTGGAGGATTCCAGTGGCCTCACAGCAGTCACAGACAGACTTGTGCCAGAGTTCATATGAATCAAGTGCACCCCACACCCACTACCCCCTGCTGCAATTGCAACAAGAAGGGTCTAGAAAATAATTTTGTTTTCAGTCTTACCCATCCCTACTTCCTATTCCTGGTGAATTACAGTTCGGGAATTGCTAGTGCTGAAGCACTCCCCAGGTTTCATTGAGACAACCACTGCATGCAGGGAGGCAGGCTGAGGAATTAACAGCAGCAAGAACATTACCTCAGAGTCCCCCCTAACAACATGGATGTCCCCAGCCAGAGTCCTGAGGTAGTCATAGCTCTCCTTGGTGCAGAGGTTTCCTGTACACAAGATGTGCTGAATCTTTCCTGGAACCAGCAGCTTCTTGAACTTCACCGGTAGACCACTGGACCGGTGTGGGATGTGAAGGTCCCCTAATACTAACACCAACTTTGCACACAGCAGGACGAAAGAAAGAGTTTTAACTCAGGTTACTTAACAGAACATCACAAAACCTTTTTGCAGCTCCAGAGCGTTTGGAGTGGCAAACCACTACAGGCCCAGCAGGGATTTCTTTCAGATTCCGCTCTGAGAAAACAACCCCTCCGCACGCCCGAGCTGCCCCGCGCAGACAGCCCAGCCAGCTCCCACCCGGGGAGCGCCAGGCGCTCTCACTGCCGCACGTAGCCGGAGGTGAGGGAATACGCTGCCCGGGGCGGACCAAGGCGCCGGGCCGGGCCAA